ATGTCCGAACGGTTCAACTGAAGATTGCGCCAAAAAGATGTGATTTATCAGATTGAATGTTAAACTTGCAAGGCAACATACATTAGTGAAGCTGGGAAGACCTTAGCGTTACGCGTTAGGGAACACCGTGGGCGAAAAGGCGTGGCGATATAGCAGCATCGCTCAGCAAACAGATGAATGGAGAGCCACGGAAACGATTTTGATGTGAAGTGCAAAATCTTGGCGTACGGGATTGAGGCTTCCGCCACTGAAGCGCTTAAGGCATTCTGGATTCACGCACGGAATCCCAGCATGTATTACTCCACAAATGATTTCTCGCCGTTTACGCCGCATTGTGAGCTACTAAAGTAAACACTGAGACGTGGAGGTCTATAGCTATTATACAAGGACCGCACAGAAAGATCCATTTACTAACCATAACGGTTCAGAGGACATCTCTTAAACCTTGAGCCGCGTAGAGGCCTTTGAATAAGACGATGGGATCGGAACGTCCGGTCACTAGTAAAGTTTCCACCTGACAACCTCGTCGGCAGGAGAAACACAATTCTATTCAAACTGTTTTACCTGTGTCTGCTCGCTGTCTTGTGCACTACATAGTGAGGGTTCCTGTGTAAATGGGCTTGTTCTCAGCCCTTAATTTTTCAATCTTTCCTTTTCTTACGCCCGTTTTGTTGTCGTGGTACTGCGCAGCGCGACACTCAATTCCGTAAATTGTAGAATGTACGTTGTTTCGCTCTTAGATGTTCCTATACTATGCCAAAACTCAAAGTAACATCCTCTATCGTGTCTCAAAAAGATTCTCCAACTACATTAAAAATCGCAGATTATTGTTAAGGTGGACTGCCTTCCAGATATATACTTGGCTTTTCAAATCTTCAAGTAGTAACTTGTTCTATATAAACTATAGTCGCTGATGGTTTGTGGCCTGTTTTTCCTTCTCAATGAACGATCAGCATATGATGCTTGTTCCAAATCTTATTTAATTTGTACCATTTGCGTTTGAACACGGGGAATGTTTTTATTCACTATCGTCGTTCTCAGGTCAGGTGGCGGTACTCACACTTCAAGCCCGAGGAATTGAACGCCGCTCATACAACCCAAATCTCAGTTATTTCTCCCAGGTTATCCAGCTTACTCAAACGCCTGGGGTGTGGAAATTTGTGTTCGATTGAGATAAGGTAATTTACATTCTAGGTCACTTCGCACCTAGGTGCGAAGTAACGTCAATCGTACATAACCATATCTTAATCACATGCCTCTCCTGAATCATACGTAGCCACACCTTAGCTTTGAGAATGACGGCGAATGTTGAAAACGATTTCATAAAGACTTTTTTGGACGGGAAAATTTTAGTTTTATTACCAAGATGGAGAAAGCTTCAAGAAATATTTTTGTTGTCATTTTAAAGGCAAAAAGTTCATTCAAATAAGAAAAGGATAATTTTCTCAATGAAAAAGTACCCTAAAACTCATAAACAACTGAGATGGTTTTGTTCGTCACGAAACTGAGCATTCTATGCAAAGCTCCTCAATTTGAGTGAATCTGGACATTTTTTACAAAACTATTCTATTTGAGTGTGCTTTGCTCCTTGCTAATGAAGTTCCTCGAATCTAAGAAAATATATAATAGATACAAATAATTCGTGTATCTGGGTCGATGGAGGTTATGTATTTGAAAAAGTAGTATAAAACAAGGGTGGTACGATTTGGAGCTGCGTTGAAGCTGTAGAATGTGTCCCCAGAGTGCATTGTAAGGTTATGAGCAAGATTCCCTCCCCAGGGTCAGTAGTTGCATATAAAGCTCCAAGGTGCTTGAAGTATTGCAGTGTTTCATGAAAAGTTCGAAATGACCTAACTTATAAGTCGAAGGGCGTACAATGATTTTTTTCAATACGTCGCTTCTGTTAAGGTTGTCTGATATTACAGGTGAGTGAAAATTCAAAAAAAGAGCAAAATAATATTAGTAGTTTTCAAATCTATCACGAATTTCGTTTTTGAGTTTACTGGAATTTTCTCTTCTTATCGTGATAAAACTCTGAGGTACAGATGGGAAAATTTCCCTCTACCCTAATTTTCTATGAGATTTCACTTCTTATTGCCATCATTCTCGTTACTAAGATGAGTTTATGTATGTTTATGTTTACGATTAAGGAGAGGCGAGTAATTAATATAAGGTTATGTACTGTCCTTACTATAACTGAAGCGTCCGTCTGTCTTTCATAAATTTTTATCATTTCTAAAGAAGCGTTCAGAGAGATTGGGTGAGATCTGAAGTGAACGGAGCACAGGGCAGAACTGACCACGTGCTAGCTCAGCTCAGTTCCGCTCCGTTTACGGAGGAGTGGGGAGGGGGAGGCTTGGTGGAATGATGAAGCGCACACCTCTATAGGCAGTGCGATAGGAAAATTCACTAGTTTAGTGCTAGAATTTACAATCCATGCCAGGAGAATCTAGAAGCCAGGAAGAAATCGTAAAATGAGCAAAATGTAATATGGGCTGAGTATGCCCAAACCAACAATGGGCGCGCACTCATTTAGGAAGTGCTTTCCAAATCCTCAACGATTTTTGAACCTTTCCGGAACTGAGGAAAAAGAGGTAAAAAGCTGTCAAATGAAGAGAGGTCAATAGTGATGGTAGGCTGAAGTGAGATGAGCGTTCAGAAGAACATAGTTAGGATCAGATACTTTCAACTTTGACCAGAAACGCCTTGAAAGCAAGGAACAGTTGATGGGAGCTAGAAGGGGAATGGAAGTCGTATAATAATATGTAATGCGAAGTGTGCAGCGATGTAAATAGAACCAGGGTCGCAAATTTGCAGCTTTTTTTTGAGTGTTTTTGAATTCTAAGGTATGGTAGATAGAAAAGAGCCGGAGAACTGTAATTGAATGCCCATGACTGGACGCGTGCTCATGTTGGTGGAGCACAGAAAAATGATTTCACAACTCTGTTCAAAAACACTACAGAGTCCTGGACAAAAGTAGATTCGAACTGACAAAAGAAGACGTCCAACTCTTCTTTGCAGAAGGAGTATCTTCCGTAATCTAGATATACTCCGTACAAAATGCAATCGACTGCAGTTTGCCGTGCCGTATTGGGACAGCTTTAGCCCTTCAAGTGGTCGATAGGTAAGCACGAAAAGAAAAGTAAATATCCCTTTTTAAGGACGGAACGTGCAACAAAATGGGTAAAGTTAGAAGTCGATGAATAATTAGTAAGATTTTGAAACAGTTCGCTTGTTGAGATGATAGACGTAAGAGACCAGTGAAAGAGTAGGGTCCAAACGCTTATATCAGTTGCCCAGAGTTTTGATTGAAGATCACCGTAAGTCTCCGAGGTTGGCTGGGCATTGGAGAATATATAGAAATGTAAGATGTTAGTTGAAGCTTTGGATAGGGGGTTAGAAATAAACAGGGTTCTCGCCTTGGCCAAAGGAGTGATGAAGAAAATTAGGTGTCCCATCTAACAAGAGAAACATACTTGGTGGCAATAATTAAACATATAATGTGATACACCGTACAACGTGTTTATGAGCGCTGGTTGGTCTTTGAAGGCAGTTGGTGATTTGGTGGATATTAATGAATGAAATGAAGATTAGGGTCCTTGATGCATGTGACCATTTTGCTTTTTCATGAAACGTGTTCTGAAGGATTACAGAAGAATTCGATGCGTCATACTGTCTCCCTACTACTCTTCTGCACATTTGAGAGCTCGAGAAATGTTGAATCGAGGAAAATTTTTCTTCGCCATCACTAACCGTAAGAAGTGCCCTTCTACACCGAACTCAGTATAGTGTTACGAAATTTTTGGCTGCTCCATGTATTTCCGACAGAGGCGGTCCAATGCTGTCCCCATATGTAAAGCGGGAAATGCGCTTGGTGGTTTATGTGAACTGCCATTCAGAGAAAATGCTGTTGGAACAAAGATGATCAAATTGAGCACACATTATTATCCGGTATATTCGAAAGTGAGTTGTACGTGATGATGCAGTGGGACACAGTACAACGGCTCGACTCAAAACCCTGAATTCGGCTATGCCTTCTCTTAGGTTGTTCCCATTGGAGCCTTGGGAGTGTTTGTCTTCAAGGGAGGTGACATCAGCAAAATCTACTAATTTTACGAGGATTTCTCTACGTCAACTGAGGCAGTGAAAGGGCAAGAATGGCTGGTAGTGATGGCTTCAGCGCGTGTGTCGACGAAAGCAAGCACGTTCACTTCGCTGGCTTAAATATTGATTTGAGTCACAAAGCAGGGCTCGGAGGCCGTGAGTAAAGGAGCCATTATTCGATTTACCTGAGCACAAGGGGACCGTACTGTCGTTGTACGATTTCAACTCAGGAAATATCGAACTGAAAAGGGGTTCGTGATAGGCTGTTCTCAGAGCGAGTAAAAGCTATTGAGACCGGGTTGCTTTAGGTGATAGAGACTGGATTGAGGGACGGGACAACCATCAAAGAGTATTAGCCAAAGATGAAAAAAACAAAAGCAATTACCTGTCGTCCCGTTGATCAACGATTTCCTTGTGCGGGCACCAGTAACGTCTCCATTTATCTCCACTTTATCGCAGAAGGTGTTTGGTCCACCTGATCTTCGATTTCTTGGCGTAGGCAAGGCATCCCTGATCCTCGTTCGTTGACAAATGTCGGAACTCCTGATTCCGTTCTGCACTTACTTGCATAGGGAAATTTCAAGCAACGTTCTTCCCAGAGCGCATTGAGTGGCGCTGACAGCATTCTCATCCTGCTTCCGTAAAGTTAGAGTATCCGAGGCCTATTTCAACAACTCTCAATTACTCCCTCGATATGCTTGTATGATCTCTACGTGGCGCGCTTCCTTCTCCTCAGCTCTGAAGCTAGGTCGTTTATTATAATGATTCTCAAGCTAGATACGCTTAGCTAGAGCTAACGGAGATATTTGCTACATTTAGCGTAAAGGGGCGCCAGTTAGTAATCCGTTCTTCATGAACATCGTCTTCATTATGTTCAGTCCTAGCCCGATTCTTCCTTAAGCGCTCCTAGATTTCGCCAGCATTCGTTCCACTTGATCAATGTCCGATGTTATAAGCACGATGTAGTCTGCCACGCTAAGGTGATCATCGCCCTTCACTCCAAGGTCATCTCCTTCCAAATGACGCATGATGCTTTCGACGGTGGCACTGAAAAGTTTGGACTAAATACTAGGTTGATCGAGTGGTCTTGATAGGGTTGAGATGTTTTCCTGTTTTATTTCACAACTCAGCTAACAACGCAGTCTAATCAACAATATACTAACCATCGTTAGTTATAATATTTTCCCACCTAACGGACAGGTCAGCGATTCCTTTCTCCCGAACTGGGAAGACTGGGTGTTAAAGAAGTCGCCGACCACTCATACAATGTTGTCGTAGTTGATGATTGTTTTTTTTTTTGTTAGGAAAGCCTTGAGGGGCCAGAACAAGTGGTAATCTAAGGGGCAATATCAGATGAATAGGGTGAAGCCGTGCCCCAGCCTAACTCCTCCAATTTTGCACGGGTCTCTCACCCGTGCAAATATATGTGGGGCCTAGCGTTGTCATGAAGATTCCCCCGATGTTCGTCTAGGCCGTTGATCTCGAACTGCTTTCACAAGTTCTGCAGCTAACCAGCGTAACAGGGAGCGGTGACGGTATGGCCTTCCTTGAGCGATTCGCAGAACAGCAATCCTTTTGAATACCAGAAGCAGCAAAGGAGAAACACCTTGGATTGGAGGCCGGATTTGGCTTGCGTCGGCGGCTTTTCCACCAGCGGGAGCCAGAGGGCGTGGTGCTTTTTGGCGTCGTAGGGGATTCAGCATTCATCTCTTACCATGGAACTTCCATTGGAGACCCAGATAAATTGATAGAATGCGCATGCTGTTCATGAATATGGCAATTGAAACAGCAAAATTGCTCTCCTTAGAAGCTATGGTTGCTAGAAAATTTGCTTCACAGCAGTGTTGACTGGAAATGCGATCTCGTCGCCTCGATACCAAGCGCGGGCAAAGAAGTAGTGGTTTCGCGGCACAGGCGGAGGAGGCAGGTTTGCTCCCGGCCATCATCCTGATTTTTGCACAGTGTTCCTTCTTTCCATGAGAGGCTTTCAAAAAGCTTTATTTGTTCAGGTGACATCCTTATTTCTGCTTTCATTTGCGCCTGTCGCACTTATTCAAGGAAAAATGGTTCTACACGCTAATTGCATGCCACTGTTTGACCTGAACTTCGAGAAACATTCAACAAAAAGATGCCAACGTATAAGATAATGTATAAGATGCCAATGTATAAGATGTCTGAGGGACTCAAAATCGATAAAGAAACCTGAAAAATGAGTGAGGGGTACATGTCGTTCACAAACTGCACGACGTTACACATGCTGCTTCTCTACAACCGGAGACAAAACAGTCAAATGTCTCGAGATTGATCGAACCCTCGCCAGAAGTGACACACGAGCCTGGGTTTCCATCAACATACACAGCTTTGTACCAAAAATATTTCAGAAAATTAAGAAAACGAGGCTTACAAGACAGATTTACTTGTGACAAAACCTTAAGTACATCATCGATCTGTATCGTAACTAATTCCGCGGTGTTCACCATAGCTCCGGTTCTAATCCTCTTCATGACGTTCTCCATAGGACCGAAAAAAAGGTGAAGATCGTTGACGTAGTACCGGGAGGAATATTGTGGACTTCAACTTTGCACCTTTAATCTTCATCACGATCGTCAAGAAGTAAACCTCTCACCTCAACATGCAATGTTGAATCACGTTGCACACTTTCGGACACAGCTTGCTTGGTGATGTCAGTATAACGGAAGGACGACCTTAGGTCTACGTTAAGGTGAATTTCGTGGTTCGCATCCCTGCTCTCGAAAAAGGCAAGTTCGATCCAATCGACCATAAGCTCTTTGGTCATAACGCGCGCTGTGCCCGCTCTGACTAGCGCACTAAGGGCTTTGAAGTAGCTTTAGCGGGGGAGGGGAAGCTCTCCTTCTTTCACGAAGAACATTATATAACTTTTCTCCTGACACAGCCGTCAGCACAAAGCAGTGAGAGGACGGTATAGGAATGCGTGAACGCCGCTGTGCTTTCGATGATTCTTTCAACATAAAGAAATACTCTGAATATTTTGGTGAAAATGTAGTTGGGGGGGCCACCCATCCGAAGGTCAGTATATCAAGAAATGAACTCAGTCTAACGTGTTAGCCCTTGTTATATCAGCACTGTATCGGACGCGTCGAGGATGATGGTAATCGATCAGCTTAGCTCTCTTATGAGGTTTCCGCTAAGAAAATTTAGTTTACTAAATAAGCCTAGGTAAGGTAGGAGCACCTAGGTGGCTAGGATGATTACCTCCTGCAAAAAAAAAGAAAAAAAGAAAGAAAAATTGCCCACCGCGGTGTTCCTTCCCTACGAGAGCCCTTCGTTAAAAACTGGCATGTCAGTGATATAACACGACATAACGCGTTTCTTTGAGTTCATTTCATGATATACCGACATTGTAATAGGTGGCCCCCCCCCAACTACATTTTCACCAATATTTTTATTATACCCAAAATTGGTATAATCATGAACGTGGTACGGCCCTTTTTCACTTCTATTGGTTTTCCCGTTGTCATTTCCTCGAGAGACTCTGACTGTTCACCATTACAGAAACGAGCCAGCGGTTCCATTTTCATTTCATTTTTTTTTCACAGCTCTCACGAATTTTTGAGCTTTGAGTTCTACTTTCTCGTGGATACTGTAGGTCTTTTCGCTACAAATGCTCTTCGCTTCATTGACACAAATTCCATGACCCTGTTCATGAGATATAAATCGAAGGCGACATGCTCCCACATCGTTTCCTCTGCATGGACCGAGCGCCGTGAAAGACAGGCTTTTGCCTTGCAGCGTGATACCTCAAAGCTGCAGGTTTAGTAGGGTGAAAACATTTCAAAAAAAATCAGTTGGTGTGATATACCCATATGCAGCCATTTGCAAGCTCTCCTTCCCTTCTAAGCTGCACGAATCCCGACCCTAGACGACCCCTGCTGCTCACTTTCAATTCAACGCGGCTTCCTTTAGTGGTTGGCATCCTCGATCCAGCTGAAACGTGCGTTCATGCTCGATAACGACGAACTTCGGTAGTGTTCGATAGCCTTCGTTACCTGACTATTAAGCAGAATGAGTATTGTGCTCGTGGTAAACATTAGAAACACACAACACACTTGACTGCGATGGCTGCCGTACTGCAAATGTCCATATCGCTCGTTTTGCTATAACTGCGTGACCTTCCTCATCGCAGTCGTCCTAGTCAGATTCCGCAAAAACATGTGACTCCAAACTTTCATCACATTCACCGGTTTCTACTTCAACTGGAGCTGTGACCCCATCGCGAAGTATAGGAACAAACTTTGCCGATAGCACTGCTGTCCTCAGGTGTTCTGAATTCAGTAGGATCCACTGTTCTTGCAAGAGAAAACGCATAAAATAACAATTGAAGGCTTATTGATAATGACCAAGTTCCTAATCAGACAGAACGGTCACTTGTCTTGAGACAAGTGACTGTTCTTTCTCCGTTTGTAGAGAAGCAGCATGTATACGGTGTGCAGTTCTGGAACAACATCGTCACCCAATGTCTCACGTCTTTTCATCAATGGTGAAATGTACAGGCATCTTATGCACCTCTGGCATCCTTCTATTAAGAATTTCTTGAAGTTTAAAACAGAGTCATGCAGTTAACATGAAGAACCATGCTTCTCTGAACAGGTGCGACGGGCGCAAGTAAAAGCAGAAATAATGCTCATCTTAAGAAATGTCAGAAACGGTTTAAAGCCTTTGATGAAACAAAAGAACGTAAAAGTCACAAGCGTGCGAAAATCTTGACGACAATGGGGAGCAAAGCCGCATCCTCCGCCTGTAAAGCGAGACCACTACCATTTCGCCACGTCGGTGCTTCATATCGAAGCGACTAGTTCGCATTTCCAATTGCCACAATTATGTAAAGCGAATTTGCCAAAACCCCCCACCTCTTTTAGGAAAGGCGTTTTGCAGTTTCAATGTCCAAATTCGTAAACAGCGTTCAAAACCACAGCGATTTAACTGAGTCTTCATTCACGGGTCCATGGTAGGTAAACTACCTATTCTTCAGTTCCATTGAGTTGTCTGAGAGTTGTGTTATGATTTTCATGGTATAAGTGGATTACCAACCTCAAGAACTTATCTAGAGAGGTACTTCACAAGACATTCTCAATATGTGCCATTGTTAACCGTCATTCCTACAGCTGTCGCATTCTATGAAATGTCAAGGTCTACTGACAATACGTAGAGTCGCAAATCTTGCGGTGTTTTGCTATTAATTTTTGAGTCGGCCGACACATTGCCATTTATTACGCAAGCATTCGCAATAGCATTACCGAAATGTATCACTAAACACTTGTTGAGGTACAAAGGAATATCCCATGATGTCGCACATTGGCATCTTTCATAGTCCACGACCGGTCGCGCGACTGGTCGCCGGACGCTAGCGACTGGTCGCTCGATTGATCGCGCGGGACCGTCCACGGCGGCACCCATAACTAGCACGGCCCCCTCGACCGATCGAGCGACCAGTGGCGCGATCAGTCGAGCGACCAGTCGAGCGACCAGTCGCGCGACCAGTCTCCGGTCGCTCGCGAGATGGGTCCGCGACCAGTCGCGCGACCGATCGTGGACTATGAAAGATGCCAATCATTCATTCTCTCCATCGACAACCTTAGCGCTTGCTGCACTAATCCACTACTCATATCTACCAATAAGGAAGGATTTTATCCAGTTGAGAGTTTTACCTCGAATTCCATAGCGCTCCAATTTACTGATCAACTTAAGATGTCAATTTTTATCGAGAGCCTTTGAAAGGTCCAGATGGATAGCATCTACGGACTTAAAATTGATGACTTCCAGACAAACATCGTACCATGTATCAAGGAGATAAGTACAGGTAGAGGCCCTTGGAAGGAAACCATGCTGCTTGACTGGAACCAGATTGAACTTAACAAACCATGCTTAACGTATATCAGAAATCAACTTCTCCATCACTTTAACAGCAGTGGGAGTGAAGCTGATAGGCCTATACTCGCTATCTCTATTCGCTTTTAGTTGTTTAGGGAACAATGGTAACAGTAACAATGGTCCTTTTACGAAGCCCGGGAACCGCTCCCAAAAGAAACGACATGTTGAACAAACGAGCGAGAGTTCTGCAAAGAGAATTATGACATTTCTTGAGCAGATTTGGGGAATTTCATCGAAGGGCTCACTAGCAGCTATTTTCAGATTTCTCAGCACAGAGCGTATATCAGAGGGGTAAAAAGAATGATATCTGGAATGTTGCTTTGAATTAATTGAACTACACTCCAATTGGCTCACAGCTGAGTTAGGTTCCAAGAAAATACTAGCAAAGTACTTCCAAAAGATTCCGCCTCAGCGTAAACACTATGGAGCTCAGTGCCACTCTGATCCTCTAGGTTATACAAGTATGACTTAGATTTGAGTTTACTGCGTAGGTAGAGGTGGAGGTGTTCCACAGAGGTTTGTTTTCCAAGGCTGTGTTCGAAAGCAGCTGAAAACTTCTTCAAATGACGGTCCATGTCAAAGCATACTTTTCGATACAGAGGTGAAGTCAGCGGAGCGCCTAAGTCTCGGAATAACCACTGTGTGAATCAACGCGATCTTGTTATGCGGAGCGTAGTGGATTTGACGGAGCTTAGCCAACTTCATCGGGGCAAATCTTGTTAGGGTGCTATAAACCACTGCAGAACCTCTCATAAGCATCATCAAAGGAAGTGTATTCATCGAACAGCAAAAG